TTTCAATTTTTATTAGATTTTCATGTTTAACTCCTCTTGGCTTGTTTTTAAATAGTTAATAGCGTAATTTACGACCTTTTTCCTAACCCTAACAAAGTAGTTTTTGTGCCTAACCCTAACCAATCTACCACCAGTGACTGGATGTTGCATATTTATTGTTGTTAACTTGACTGCGGAGCCCTGCGCCTTCAAAAATGATGCTTGAGGGATACCTACAGTGTCATATTGTTAAACAGAGGGCCGCTGACTAAGCATTATTGGCATTATTTGAGGAGTTGGGTCTCTTGAAAATATAACTTGTGATGATCCCTACCTCTCTGGGCAGGGGTCCATGTTGCACTCCTTGAGTTTCGGTGTAGGTTTGGTGTTTTCAGGATAGCTATTACAATGATGCTCAGGCAGTGTCTGGTTAGATCGGATGTCTGTGCACTCTGCAGAGTTCAGCTGATAGCCTGGGGAGGAGAGCGGACACAGGCTGTGTAACTGTATGTTAACGGAAAAAGTTGCAGATATCAACAGATGGATCAATAAAATATACAACAATGCTAAATCATTATTCAAACACAGAGACATTTGTTTAGAGTTACTGTCAACTGACAGCGACCTCACCTCCTCCACAGGTGACTGAGCAGGGGAAGAAGTCAGTCTCTCTCCACTGGTACCTGATTGGCTGGTAGAAGAGAAACTGGACTACTGTGTCCTTGGAGCCTCCATACTTCATCTGTATAACATGTATGATGAATGAATTGTAGAGAAGAAGAGCACTATGTTAAGTAGTGTAGGGCAGAGCAAAGTAGAACACAGCTGAGGTCAGTAAAGTAGACAATTCCACAAAGGAGAACCCAAGAGAAGAATCAACCCTCATCCGACCGGCAGGGATACCCCTAGACCCCAGAGGTATACTTCCTCACAGGTGCTTTATTCTATCATTCCAATTTTTCTTATTGTGTGTTCCTAATGGCTTCATATGTTTTCTGTTTCTGTGTTAATTTGTGCTTTTCAAAAATAGCAATGCATTGGGTTCCTAGGGGGCCCTAGTCAAAAGCACACAGTTCTGAATGTAGGGGCAGTCTGTAATTTTCAAGGAGACATATACAGATAGTCTATTTTAGTTTTACACAAAATACAATTTAACTATTCTGCTACTTTCTTAAAATAATTATTGCTAGTTTTTCAGACATCATTCATTACATGACTAATAATGTTTCTGGGGTCCCCAGTCGCTGGTTCTTCTGTGTTTATCATGTTGACAAGATGAGGGTTGACTGAATCTGTAGAAATTGATTTATGAGTAATATTTCTACTATACTATAACTACGACAACTACTCCAACTGTGAGAACAGTTGTATAATGTGCTTCTAGAGTTTTTGTCATGAAATATTTATAACAAAAAAACCTGAGTCACAAACTGAGGAAGTGGAGTCTGAAGAATGAGGATGTTCTTGGAGGTTGACCAACACTAATGTTTAAAAGTCAGGATATGTCAGTTAGTCAGTCAATTTAGTGGCATCTAGGCATCTATTGGCTAGTTGCATTTATTTTACCCTCTTCCTGAAAGCGCTATGAGAAACTATGGTGGCCACTAATTGTGCAAAAAAGTAGATTGCAATTCCCTTGCATCACCATCCCCTTTTTCCAAGCTCGAGGGCGCAACTACGGTGCCATGAAATGTGAAAAAACACTAACAGCCATATTTACAGCTAGTGTTTGGTTTGTACCTTTTGGGCTACTGTAGAAATATGGCAGTAGGCTAACCATATGAGAATGGGGGACATTTGGGACAGGGGAGTTGGGCATGTCCTGGCTGTGTTTACAAGCTGTGTTTAATCTTACACATTTTACAAAAATGAAAATTTAATTTTTTTCAAACTTAAAGCAGGAATTAGCTTACATATAATTTGATCAGAATATTTTTATGGATTCATGGACACTACTGATCTGTATCTATAATTCATGTAGACTAATTGATTATTTAATAAAAGGGACTTTCATTTGAATTTAGAGTCTTCTTTATTCTGGTGACAGCAGCAGCTTGTTGCTTGTATCTCTGTTTCGTTGTTAATTATTCAGGATAATTTGGCAGCGTTCCAAAATACACAGTACTTTCAGAGCAGCATTTCTCAGTATTACTGTGTCAACAAGTCAGCTCTCCTCAGCATTTTCAGCTTCAAGTAATCACTGTAAAGATGCTCAAATGAAGGTAATGTGATCTCTCCTATAGTTCTGGCTGATGAATTTACACAAACTGAAATCTTTTAATCTTTTACGTAGTTTTTCAGTAAGTGAAAGGGTTACACCTTATTCCTTCAAAGGGCAAGGAGCTGCCTTAGATAGGAAAATGTGTGCTTTTATTTGATGATGTAATTGACGTGTAAGTCATTCATTACAACCTTGCAGGCCACATGGACCACTACTGAATGTGTCTTTTATGCACTAGCCTTTAAAACACAGAGTGTAATATGTCACATTTATCACTGATTTAATGTAAATACTTAATATGACAGTGACTGTCATCAACAGGGAAAAGCACGGGTAACAAAGGAGTCAAAGTGAAGACTGAATTTGCCTTTTACTGAGTCAAAATAAAAAAAAAATTGCAACATTCTTCCCTCTAGTACTCTTGGTATAACCACATGTACCCACATCAGCAAGTCCCAAACGATGGCGGCAGCTGTGAAATATCACAGTAAAACTACAAAAAAATATTTGAAACTGATTAAATTAAACATTTTTATAAAAAGTACTTAATCAGGAATGTTACTTACAAAACTAAGTTATCGTCAAATTACAAGTAAAAGCTGCTTATGTGCACAGACAAGCTGTGTTTGAATTGTATCTGGAAGGAAAGTGAAAGGTTTTTCTTGTACCCAGTTGAGATTTGAAATCACCACTAAAGACGTGTGAAGCTGTGGAGGACTGGAGTGAATAGGGAGGGAGACAATGCTCTGGTCCCAGCATGAACTGGACAAATCCTTTTCATTCGCACATCAGATAAGACTGTATCAGGGATTTGGATCAAAGTCCTCTATTAGATCAAATAAGTAGTATAAACATGCATACTGACCTGCTGACAGTATATACAATAGAGGCCACATTTGGTTTAAGAGCTAAACTTTGATGGGAAAAGGATGCAGTAACCGCTCTTGGTGCATTAGGCTGTCATCCAAATCCTGAGGAACACCTGGCCTTTTGCACATGCACTCCACAAAGGTCAAGGTACACAAAGGTCCAGTGTGTGGTGCAATGCATTGCCTGGGCATGCTCACAGCGGTCAGGATAAAAGAAAAAGGATACGGGGCTAGTCAAAGTGGGGTCAATTACAGTAGAGATGCAATAGTACAGTAAACATTTAAAAATAAGTCCTTTCCCTTTATGGTCCAAACTTGTTTATAGTTTCAGTAGTTAATTACACAAAAAATGGCAAATAGGTACTTTAACTATTTGAATCAGTATGCAAATATGAATATATTTGTACAACCAGCAAGCTACCGCAGAATGTAGTTAAACTACTTTTTTTATTCCATTTAGTTCAGTAACGCATGTAATTTCTTAGTTCTACGCTACAAGTTATTGTCTTTTGCCTTTGCAGGGCAGAATATCAATTGCACATCTGTGCTCACAAACACATTTAACAGGTTCTAAATAAGCACATTCATTTACTACATAACACACTGTCTGCATTACAGTTTATGCATTTTATTACTACTATTTACCAGTCTACCACAGTATACTGTATTTTATATTTTATTCTATTTACATGCTTGATTAGTTTTTATTATATTTTAATTTCTGAACTATTGTATGGCTTTTTATTTTATTTTATACATTTTCTATGAATGTTGGATGGAGCCTGAGAACAAAAATTTCACTGCCAGCAACTGCTTCACTATAGTGCATATGACATATAAAGAACTTGAAAGAGTCTCCAAAACACTCCACACAGTCACTTCACCCGACTTTTTCTCACCAAGAAAGAGTTCAGTAGAAAGCAATTAAGCATATTTCACAAAATGTGGAATTATTACTTCATAAAAGGTTCAGCCATTTCCCAAAACTGTAGTCTTTAGCAAACATTACTCAATCTGGAGTAAATAGTGCATTTGTTGGGGACTATTTTCAGCAACAGATTTGGTGCTCTGGAAAATATTTATTTGATGTTATTTCTGGGAATCATTTTAATAAACTACATGTGTCTTCATTGAAATGAAGGAACATGGCAGCCAGTGCAGCAGTGTGGCTAATTGATGTGTTTTTAATTTTTTAGTTTTAGGACAACAGTGGAGCTCTATGACACAGAGGATTCACGCATTGCACGCACTACAGTGGACAGCTATTAAAAAACTTTTTTCTTGCCTTGGCTTTGATTGTATAGTTGCACATAAGGCTACCACAGTGGACGCTAGTGCATCACCCCATACACTGCCACCCACTGGCCAGCTGTTGTAAGTGCAACAAAAACTTCAAAACCAAGATGGCTGAATTGCTGAGCAGCTCAGGAATATCTTGTCTCCTGGCATGGGTCTTTGCATGGGTCAGAACTAAAATCTGTCACCTCCTACAAATACCTAGCTCAACAGTTCACTCTCCTTTCAAACACACATCAACACACTGCTCTCCAAAGTCAAAGCAAGAATTGATTTCCTCTATCAAAGTAAAGCATCGTTTACCCTCTCTGCTAAACACACCAGAATGACAATCCTCCCAATCCTGGATTATGGCGACTTAATCTACAGGTTTGCCTCCAAAAGTCTTCTCCATAAACTGGACGTTCTTTACCATACCGCCATCGCTTTGTTACATGTGCCCCTATTGTAACACAGTGTAACCTGTACTCTCTAGCCAACTGGCCGTCACTACACACCAGGTGTCACAGATCCACTAGTATCAGTTCATTTATAAAACTATCATTGGCGAAACCCCTCCATATCTCGGTTCTTTACTCAGCATTTCCAACAGTAACCACAATTTCCAAATTTATAACTTTGGACACTCCTAAAGTTTGTCCCTCTTTCAGCCCTCACTCTTTTCAGTTTGTTGCTCCCAGGGACTGGAACCAGTTGCAAAAGTCACAGTCACAAAAACTGAACACTGCTTGATTATCCACTTTAGCAAAACTCATTGCATGTGATATGTTTCCCGGATCAATTACACTTGTTTTTGAAATTTGCCATCTCCTGCGAATATAGTATTAGATCTCTCTGTTGTGTACATACCCGTATATATTAAGTGATGTTTAAATCTGTCTAATATTGTTTTGTTTTTTGCATTAGCTGTATCTAGGCGGCTTGTGGCTCAGAGGGCAGAGGCGGGTCGTCGCCGCAATCGGAAGGTTGTTTGGTTCTCCCGGCTCCTCCTGCCACGTTCCTTGAAGCGAGATACTGAACCGCAAAATTGCTCCCGATGCATAGCATCGGTGTGGTGGAATGTGTGTATGATGAAGTTAGTTTCTGTTCGAGTGGACTTTGCCATCACTGTGTGAAATGTGTGTGAAAGGGTGAATGTGGCACGTAGTGTAAAAACGCTTTGAGTGGTCGGAAGACTAGAAAGGGCGTATACAAAGTACAGGTCCATTTACCATTTACGCATCTAGGTTTTGACTATGTACTCGACCTGCCTCTTGGCCCGGTCATCATTGTGTCATACATTGTTACATGAGAATATTGTAATTGCTTGCTATACTGTCAACTACAGTCTGTAACATTACTAGAACTTTGTTGTTATTGCAATGGCCAATTCAAATTCCGACCTGGAAACCGCTTTGCCGTATGCCGCCCCCCCCTTCTGTCTCCCGCCTTTTTCTGTCTCCCCCCCTCTTTCTGTCTTTCTTTAATTGTCATATCAGAATTAAGGCCAAGAAGCCCCAAAATATCTAAAAAGAAATAAATATTATTTATAGGTTTTTCACATCATATATACATTCAATTAATTGGGTATAATTAGATATAATATAATATTACAGTTCAACCTGCATGCAGACCACGATGGAGTGGACTGAGAAAGAGCTCCTGACTAAGGTTTGTCATGATTGATAAATGAAACAGAATCAGGTTTTGATATACACATAATACTTGCTTAATAGAGTTCAATTCATTGTTGGTCTGAGCTGCAAATGGCATTTATTAACAAGAAGAAAAATGCAGAAACATCATTCAAGACTTATCATTGTATCTGATTCTAATTGTAGAAACGGTGAATTTGTTCCACTATGGTTAAAGCAGTGCAAGACGTCTGCAGTATGATGGCCTAAAGTGCTTATCTTCGTTATAACTGCCAACATAAAAAGGGCTTGTGACACGCAATAAAGTCAGCTACAAATAGGAGATTTATTTAGATTTAGATTACATCAGGCCCTCTCCAACAATATGCTAGTAGTGCCCCTGGCAACAACCTCAACCAATCTTATTAAAAATCCCCTGCATATGCTAATATTATGCAAGCAGATGGATTTATTTATGTGTAGCTCTTATCTATAATGGAATATGTACATGAGAAGCCAAAGTCCTGAGGCTGTTTGGCTATAAACTAGGACCTGTCCTTTCCTTTGTTTCACTTGGATAATGTAAT